ATCTTTTGAGGAGGTGGAGTTTTCACAATGAGCTTCATTGAAGTTGAAGATTGTTTGAAGATTTTCATGCTCATGTTTCAAATCCTCAAGCTCTAGTTCAGTTTTAATTAAAGCATTTTCATACCATTTCAACTTGTTTTTCAGTTTTGAATTCAATGCATCCAATTTTACAACTTCTTTATGAATTTGTATAAAAGCTTCTTGGAGTTGATCATAGTCCGGATTTGATTCAAGGTCAGAGTCACTTACTATTTTCTTGGTCAGCTCCAGCCATTAAACACAAGTTGTTCTCCTCAATTTCAGATTCATCACTTGTTGTGCTTGAATCATTATCTTCCCAAGCAATGTGGGATCTCTTCCCTTTGCCATTTCTCTTGCTTTTCTTCTCCTCTCGTTGCTTCTTCAAGAGGTTTAACTCTCAGAGTCCCACTAAAGCAAGGCTATCAAGACGCAAACTTCCAGCTCGCACTACGCACTGATTCGGTAAAAAATTTCCTTCTTCTTTATTTGTCTTATTCATTACTAGACGACGAAACAGTTCCACTAATTTAGGGTTTTCATGGCTTATTTTTTCAGGAAACATTGAAAATTCCTAATTTCTTTTTCAAGAAATGGGGAAATGAATTGTCTAGCCACGTCACTGCCGAAGACCAATTCGGCAATACGTATCAAATTAAGGTTAACGTCTGCCTTCAGGGAAACAAGGAAGTTGCTTTATTTGGTGAAGGGATAAAAACAATCGTCCAAAGCTACGCCCTAGACAAAGCCAAGTTGATTTTTTTTCAGTATTTGGGTGATAGCAACTTTGTTTTTACTGTTTGCGCATGTTTTACTCCAATTACACCACCAAATTTGCCCCCTCATCGGTCAACAATGTTGGTTGCTGGTCAACAAATGGAACAGAATGACAGGCAGTTGTTATGGTCATCTACTATTACGGCTGCAAGGAGGCCCCCCGGGAAGCCACTGGTAATATTGGTTGTTCTTTAACATATTTTTGTTTTCCTTTGCTCTTGTTTTGTCCGGAATTATTTTTTGTATCTCGTATAGGTTTGACATATTTGTTTTCGTTTATTTTTGTAGGCAATACCGGCTAACATGGTATTCAAATATTTCAGAAATTGTCCACATTGGGTGAATGTATTTCTCCCAAACGGGACTCAGGCTATATGGCATATACTGTGGTATCCATACCAAGGCCTCTTTTCAAAAGGATGGTATGACTTCCAGCGTGTTTGCAAATTTAATGTGAATGATAAGGTTCACTTTTGGACGAAGGAAGGGGGAGGCGTTTTGGAGGTTTCTGTCACTCGGGCTTGATCTGCGTCCCTTCCATTTCTGTATTTTATCGAACTTTTTAATGTTGTTCTTTGTTTTATTTTTCGAACAATCACTGGTTTGTTAATATTTGTTTATAAATATATATAATTTGGTTTTTTTTGCTTATTCGTTCATCTATATGATGCCAATATGTTATCTGTATGCTATCTGTATGCATATGATTTTATGTTTACTGGATTACCATGTAATCCATACCTAGGTAGAATGTTGTAGAATGTGATATTGGCTTGCAGGCTCAATCAACGCAATGCATGCGATTCAAGTATGTGTCATTATCTTATCTGTATGTTTTTATCATTTGTGGATTACCATGTACTCCATACCTAGG